TTCTTGTTGCAATTTTGAATGTTGCTGTCATTTATGGACTCATCTGCCACCAAATCTGCTGAATTTGTTTCAAAAGTGACCTCATATGCCATATTTTCCGTCACCACCCTCTTTCCTTTCTTTTTTTTTTCTGTAGCCGAAATCCCTTAAGTCCGCCTGACTGCATGTAGACAGATTTGCAGGTCTTCACTCTTCGTTTTTGTTGTTTCTTCTTTTTTTCCTCCCTCTTTTTTGTCTAGTTCGGTATGTCCCCTGCATCGTCGGCCATATCTTTCCAGAATCTGTCTTCCTTTTCAATCCTCACTTGAGTAGCTGCCTTTTTGACCATTTTGGTAGGCTTACTCAAAGATGTTGGGTTTGGTTCTTCAATGCTTGGCCCAGTAAAATTACCCAAAGATATTGAGTTTAATTCTTCATTGTTTGGCCCATCATCCTTAGGCCCGTTTCTCCCATTCTCCGCATTCTTTTTCTTTGTCGGCCCAATCATCTCAATTTCTTCTCCCTCTTTCCTTTGCATGTCTTCAACAGCGGCTGTAGTCTTATCCGTTGCATACTTTGATCTGTTTACTTGTGAAGCCTCCTCCTCTGCCCCCTTTTTGAAAAACTCCTTGTTCCCGATTTTTTCCTCGCTGACATCCATCTCTGCTCCCCTTCCGCTCCTCTCTTCCTCGAGCCCAGCAATCATTAAATGTTTTCTTGTTGAACCTTCCAACCCACCCGTTGTAATCTTGTTTGCCTTTTGAAAACATTCATCTGGGCCCCCTGTCACTGAAGCCTCATCTTCTATCCTTTCAGCAAGACCTTTTTGTTTATTTTGGTGATTCACCGACCTTTTTGCTGAGCTGTCAACTAACAAGTGTGCCCTCGTGTCTATTCCTTTTGCCTCATCTTCTAGTTCTGTCTCCGGAACACGTAGTTCTATTGCCATGTCATCTTCTTCATCACCCTGAGTTTGCTCGGATTCTATATCACACGAAGACTAATCTGTATCCTCATCTAAAGCTTCTGCTGACCATTTATCTCCATACTCAGTACCCCTATTTATCTTGAAATATGAATTCATTATGTATAGACCATTGCTGGACTCCTCATCTGAAAATTTTACCTTGTACAGGACCCCATTTATCTTTATGGTTAGAGACTTTGAGATGAATTCTGTCATCGGTGTTGATATTAGAAATCTGGTGGCATCAAGACGTTTTTTCCCACTAGTACTGTCATCTAGTGAAACAAAGGTGCCCCAAAGACTTCCAAAAGATTGGAAATATTCTGGTTTCCATGCATGTAAAGGTAGACCCAAACACCTAATCCATGCAAACCTTTCCGCTGCCACTATCGTCGATTTCCATGGTTTGATTTCCTCAAACCATTGTCCTAGCTAATCTTGGCCAGTTTCAATAAGTTCTTTCAAATCTTCATAATCATGTCCTTCCAACAAGACCAACCTACCACCCATTGCTCTGATTTTGCAGAAGAAAACTTCTTCCATGAAGAATTTTTCTTGTAAAGTTGGAATCAAAGTTACCGAGCGAGCTGTTCCTACGAAGCATTTCTCCAGCCACTCATACTCATTCTACTTCACATTAAACTCCATTCCTGACCATGCTTGAGGTTGTTGTTTTAGCTTCCATCTCCACCTCGTTTGATCACTCGCTCTAAGCCTTTTGCTTTGCTCTTTGATGTTTGCACCATGGTACTGTCCCTCTATTAGTCCCATACTTTGATAATCTACATTGTTTCCTTTGACTATCTTTGCATAAGTCAGATTCCTTTTAGCTCCTGCATTAGGCGTGGCCACATTTGGCATCCTATTTCCCATATTTCTTTGTTGGTGGTTCTGATACCCTGACTTCTCAAAACGAGGTTTGTTAGCTTGAAGATTAAACCCACCAATTGGAATTTGATTTAGCTTTCTCTCCAATTCTCCAGCGTCTTTCACCTCCAAGAACTTGACGAAACCGAATCTTTTCCTTATGCGGTCTCTCTTCTTGGGACATTCAATTTCTATAACCCTGCCTTTTCCCAATCTGTTGAAAGTTCTCCACATCTGTTCGAAAGACCATTCATCTGGGAAATTTGTGAAAAAGAAAGGAGTTGCTTGGTTGTATATCTTTTTCTCAAAACCCCCATAGTACTCTCTTGGCTGGTTCCTGCTTTCACCTTGAAACCTCTCATATCGCTGTGTTGTCCATTGTCCTCGTTCTCTGCTGACAATCGCCCTCTCCGGCCCTCGCTCTCTCACTGATGCTCTCCCTCTCATGATGCTCCGTTTAATTATAAAACCATAAGGTTTTTTTGATGTTTTTGAGATAACTGATGATGGAATAGTGGAGTTAATTCAAACCAAATCATTTCTATGGCTGAAAGATAAATTAAAGGTGTGTGGGTTTTCTTTATACGTGCAAGAGCAGTAGATTTATTATTGTTGTCTGCTATTTATAAATGCTAAATACGTGAAGTATGGGTTGAAAATATTCTTTGTACTCTTTGTAATCGAAATTAATAAATTATTAATAGTTAATTGATAAAGAAAAACATTATTCTTTACCTATTTCCATTGGCCTCAAACCATATCTTGTATGCAATTTTCTAATGTCCAAAAAATGAAAGAAAGAAAGCCACATCTTTCTCCAATTTATGACCCTTATGTTAGGACAGTAATCTCTAGTCATATGACACTCCCAGCTTGGATAAGGTTCGTTTCGACCTTCCTTTCCTATATATCTCCCTGCTCATGCTTCATATATAGAACTTTAGTTCTCAATATTCATGGTTTTTTTATTGATTTTATTAACTTATGCTCGTCTTATATTGTTTCTATTTCCGTTTTTTGGTTTTGGTTTCTTCTTTTATATTTTGTGATGCGGGTAAATAAATATAACATTGATTAAACCAGAAGCAAAATATATTTTAGATCTTTATTTTCTTAGTCAAAATAGTTACACAGTTTATTGGTACTCCAAAAGTTTGGTTGCATTCTAAAACCAAAATATAAGGATTAATAAAACCAATGCAAAAGTAATCAATCCCCTTTGGAACAATGTTCTAAACTAACAATGTGCATTATCGCACAGATTAATACTTATCAAACAAAAGAAAAATGAGATTGCAAAATATCAAGTTGCTCTAGCAATTAAAATGCCAAGAATGATATTTATAGATAATCTTGACATTTCAAATGTCAAGACGTTTGGAATTTTTTCTTCATAGATAATCAAAATAAATTACATTGAAATATTTTAGATGAATGATATTCCAATTGTAATGACAACATCCAAACCCTAGTTTGGAACTCAAATGCCATTCATGCAACTTAGGTAACATTTGGAAAAAAAGAAGGAATAAGTTAAGGGAGATGAACAACTTGAACAGCAGAAAGGAACGAATGCACTGATATGTTTCGATTGGGAATCATCAGCTTTCATCATTTTTTTCTTTGATTGAATATCATGAATTTGAGTAGAAAAGAAAGCAGGAAATACCTCAAAAGAAAAGCTCTCGTCTACAAATACTCATAGAATAGTTAGGAAAATTTTGTGTTAGGCTCTACTCAGGTTCAATTTCATGCTTAGGGCCAAAATAATAATAATACCTGCTTTGTCTAAATCAAGTCTTATATAGCAATATAACAAAAGGGTAGGATTAAGTATTACTTCTTAATATAGCAAGACTCTGTAGCGTAGCTTTTTACAATCAGCACTTTTCTCTATTGACTTCATGGTACCTTCTTCTAGAGTTGCCGATTTGGAGCTCTTAGACTCACTTCCACTTTTAGTTTCCACCTTAAAATCCTCAACTTCATTGTTAGAGCCATCTAACAAAATCTTGGTTGTGATCTTCTAGATACCCTTTTCAAACAAAGTTGTTGTACCTATAATTTTAATGATTACAAAACACATTTGAATTACTAATTGGTTTATCTAAGTGTGTAGTTAATGGTCTGAAAGTTGGCAAAAGTGAATGAATTCAAACTGCATTGAAAAAGAACCAAAATGTTGAAATTGGTGTAAAGAGCTAGCTATGATTTCTATAGCTAGCTCTAAAGAATTGTAGAGATCAAGCTCTACAATCCAACAGCTAGCTTTGGTGAAGAAAAATGCAGAAAGTTGGCTTTAAAAGTTGCAGCTGGCTCTACGAGTACAAAAGTTTAGGTTTGGTGTGTGTGGAAAATAAACACAGAGCCAACTATAACTCTGTAGTCGGCTACGATGGCACATTTAATGCTCAACAATCAAGTTTTTTAAAGATTTTTTAATCTTTTGAAGTCAGATTTCTTAAGTTGAGTTTGTGTTTTGCAACTAGCTCAACGAAAAAACAAGGTTAAATGCCTGATTTGGTCCCTTAACTTCCATTTTTGAACCAAATCTACCCCTAAACTTCAAAAAGCACCAATGCTACCCCTAATCTTCAATTTTTGGGAACAATTTGGTCCTTCTGTCAATAGAAGTGCCAAATGGCATGTTAAATTGCCACAAAATCAATCTTTTTTTTTAAAAAAAACTAATGACATGGAAAAAAACACATGTGAAAAGGGATGAGTTGGCATTTTATCTTCAAAATTACACAATTATCCCTATCTAGCATATTATTTTAATATTTGTTGAAGTTACCAAAATACCCTTATTTTCAACCCCAATCCCTTTCACTTTTCCTAATCTCCTTCAACCTCTCTTCAATTCTTCAGCTTTGTTTCATTTATCATCTCCCATACCCATTCTTTTATTCTGTGAATCTTCATCGAAATTTGAAATTTTTGTTAGAAAATTGCTAGGTATACTTGCTTGAAGAGAGATTTTATCATTTATTTACATATGCTCGTAGATCTGAGGCAAATGTTTGGAGTTTTTTTGTTAAGCAAACATGAACTTTTTTTTATCTTTTTGAAGAAGAACCTTGCACTTGCTCATTTATTTAGGGAACTGCAGATTTGAGGGAAGAAAATTTTAAAAAATAGCAAAAATATTCTTTTCTCCTACCTTTACAAACCCATCAAATACCCAATAAAGCCGACTGCATCTCTTAGAGTTGACTCTCTGTACTTTTACCCACAAAGGTCATCTCTTTGCACCTCTCTATAGTTTAGATTTACTTAACTTTACAATCTTTTAGGTGTTTAACTACACACTTAAATGAACACATTAGTCACTCAAATGTATATGGTAATCATTAAAATTATAGGTACAACATTTCTTTTTCCTTCCCTCTCCTCCCCATCCTTCTTCTTTCTCAAATTGAATGGGGAACCCACCGGTTTTCTAAGAGAATCCAAATCTAGGTTCTCTTGTTCAATAGATCAGGGTGAAGGAAAGAAAAGGAAGAAAAGGGGAAGGAGAGGAAGAAGAAGAACAATGAAGCCTTCCTTAGGAAGCCATTAGATTTGCAAATTTGGAGATCTAGAGATGAAGGGGTTTGGAGAGAGAAGGGTGAGTAAGGAAGAAGAGAAAGTTGTTTAGAGAAAAAAAAAAAAAGCAATGGGAGAAAGGAGAAAAAGAAAGGAAGGAAGGAGGGAGGGAGGAAGCCGTTGTTGTTGTTGTTGCCATCGTTGTTGAAGAAGGAAAAGTCGACAGTGAATGAGGGTTAAGGGTGTGACGACTTGGAGTTTTTAATATTTAGAAATGGGATTTAAGCAATGGGATTTAAGTTTTAAAATATTTAGAAAAAGAACATAGTAAAACAGAGGTGAAAGATTAAAATTTAGTAAAAATGCTACGTAAAAAGAAAAAAAATGCTACGTCATGGTTTTTTTTTTCCACATCATTATTTTTTAAAAAAAGGTGTGATTTTCTAGCAACTTAACATGCCATCTAGCACTTCTGTCGATAGAAGGACCAAATTGGTCCCAAAAATTGAAGTTTAGGGATAGTATTGGTGCTTTTTTAAGTTCGAGGGTAGATTCGATTCAAAAATAAAAGTTGAGGGACCAAATTGAGTATTTAACCAAAAAACAAAAAGTGCATATGGAGCAAGATAACTAGCTTTGCATAACCAACTTTGAGGGTATAGCCATCTTTACTAACAAGATCTACAGCATGTTTTCTCGGACTTAAATTAATCTACAAGATATTAAATACACCCCAAAACAACTAAAAATGACTATTTTTTTACCAAAGGAGTATAAATATGGTTTGTAGAAGCTTCAAAACAAGTCTTAGACATTCTTCATTATATATCTCTTATCTACCAACTTGTGATTCTTGTGCTTTAATTTGAGATTTTGATCATTGAGTGATCTTTACTTGTAATCCTCTACTTATTTTCTTTGAGAGTTATCTTGGAAGTGTAATTATTCTTTCAAGAGTGATTTGTAGTGAGGATTCTTGGGTTTGTCTTATAAAGGGGTGAGATTTGTGAGAAAACCCATCTTGTAAAGGGATTGAGTGGCTTCTTTAAGCCACCCTTGTTGTTGTTAGTCAAGAGAGTGCAGGAAATCTTGGTGAGTGAAACCAAGATAGAGGATTGAGCTCCAAATGGTTGGACCAAGCCTTTATAAAATCATTGTGCAAGCTTCTCTTCTGTACTTTCTTTGGTTTTTTCCTTTGTGGTTGCTAAAAGGAAGAAATTTTTTAAACTCCGATTCACCCCCCTTTTGGAGTGCATTGAGCCAACAAAAGTTTCTAGGGCAAGGCCACCCTCAACCTTAGAGAAAATATTTAGGCCACGGAAGTTGGGACTTGATCACTCTTGATCATGCCTAGCTAACTTAAAGTACTCCACACCACCACACAACACCCACTTTTTTTTTTTTTATCAACACACAACACCTACTTTTTGCCTAGTTGAGATATTTTGAACCCTTTTACTACCTAACAAATGGTGCTTGTAGCTTCTTCCTTAGGTCTAACAGTTTGATTTTCTAGTGCCTCAATCTTCTGAGACAATTCAATCCTTTCACCTCATGGTTTTTTGGTTGGATTCTAACATCTTTTCTTTTGACTTAGCTTCTATAGTGAGTTTGGCTATTTCCTTTGTCAACTGGAGATTTTTCAATTCAAGTTCCTTGAGTTATCTTTTCAAAAGAGTCAAGCTTCACTTTCTTTGGTGCCCTTTCCTTAATAAAAGTCCTTTTCTTGGTTAACTCTATAACAAAGGTTCACCATATTCCCAAGATGCTTCTTAAGCTCGGTGCATTTAGCCTCCATACAAAAGGCAGCCTTTTCTTTCTCTTGGAAAGCCTTTATTAAGCTTAGTAGTGAAGTGATAGCCTACGAATGAAGGAGTTTTTGAAAGTGGTGGAAAGGGTTATGAAAGATCATAAAAAGGGAAGAAAGTTTACCTAAATCAAATGCTGGTAAGTATAGTTTCACAACTATTCCAAGTTGAAGTTGGCAATGATCTCGTTGTCTACATTTGTAAGGAACCGCTT